TATTGGTTCAAATTTTATTTCAATTGACTATCAGCTACGTGCCAGGTCAGGTGCTGATGGTCTGGGTCTCAAGGAACCACAAACTGGTTAAGTAGATAAAGCCAATATAGCATGTAACAGTAGTGATGGATGTTACCCAGACAGCTTCTGGGGCTCATAAGAGGGGAACCTAATCCGGCATCACTGCAGGGATGGGTCTTGGGGTACAACAGAGTGGGTAGGGCAGGTGGTCTTAGTCTGTTTGGACTGCTAAAACAAAATGCCACATACTGGGTGGATTATAAACAACAGAAATTTATTTTTTACAGTCTGGAAGCTAGAAGTCTGAGGTCAAGGTGCCAACATAATTAAGGGCTGTCTTCTGGTCTAAGACTTTCCGTTGTATCCTCACTGACAGAAGGGGTGGGGGAGCTGTCTGGAGTCTCTTTTATAACAGCACTAATTTTGTTCACGGGAGCTCTGCCCTCATGACTTGATCACCCCAATAGCCCCACTTCCTAAGTCATATCACTTTGGAGGAGAGATTTTAACATATGGATTTTGAGGGGATGCAAATATTCTGATGAAATTAATAGGGTAGAATTAGAGAGACAGGGGCAGAAAGTGGTACTGGCATTCAGGGTAGAGGCTACCACAGGACACAGGCATTGAGGGCAAGAACATTATGGTGGTCACCACAAGGACTTCACTATGGCTGTAGGGTAAACGTCAAGGAGGCAGTGGCATGAGACAGAGCTGGAGCAGGTTCAAGGCCAGATTACAGAGGATGCGTTTTGTCACCGCTCATTCTGTGCCATAGATGTTGGAGCACAGATTGAAGAGGATAGAAGCAACAACAGCAAGGATAGGCAAGAAGCTGTCACAATAATTGAGGAGAGAAATGAGAAAGGGTGAAATCCTGAACCCAGGCACACAGGGGAATAATTTGAGAACTTTTAGGAAGTGAAGTTTAATGAGTTTGGTGGGTGTGAATGTTAGGAGTAAGGAAGAGAAAGAGGGAACAGTCAGGCATGCCTCAGAGATTTCTGGCCTGGATGACCAGGTGGGGAATGGTGCTGACTGGGGAAAATGAAGATAGGATAAAAACAATGCCTATCAGGGAAAAGAGACATGGAAGGCCACTGCCTTTTCCCACCACAAAATTCCCAGAAATACAATTTAGTGGGAAGTAATTGTAAGGGGTGTGGCAGAAAATATTCCCCATAGCCCATGGTTGGGGGATGGGGAAGGGCATGATATGACCATTTAGATACTTTGCATTACAAAAGGAAAATTAATAGCTGTGCGCTGCCCTGGGCAAAAGGAGTTCGGGACTTTAAGAGCATTCAGTGACTCTTAACTTAGCTGTGGAGTTTACAGTGCCTGTACCAGAGGCAGGGGAGATGGAGGCTCCTCTGTCATGGGGTACTCTTGCCCTAACTAAAGATAGCAGAAAGAAGGTTGAAGATATGGGGGAACTGGCAAAACTAGCTGATGGTAGGAGGTGTTGGGTATGAGGTAAGGTAGGAAGTTCCAGGTTAGCATTTAAAATAAGGGTGGGCTGAGAGAGAAAGACCAGTCCACCATGGGGTAGTGAAGAAGCAGCAAGCAGCCATGCCAGTCTGTAGTGAAAAGGGCAGACGTGTGAGAGAGATTCTGTTATGCTGTTGGTAGTGAGGAAGGTGCTACTTCTGCTTCTCTGAGAATTGTGCCATGAGGGCTGAAAGAGCAAGGAGGCAGCCATGCAGGCTGAGGAGAGGGTGAAAGGAGAAAGCTGATGGGGCCGGGAATTTCGGGAGCCTGTTGAACCAAGCACAGAGTCATGGGAGATGCCTGGAGTGCTGAACTCTGACCAGGGAATGCCAACTTCTGCTACTCTGAAGGACATATGGAGAGGCCACTTTTTTAAGACATGTGCCTTTCTGGACTTCACCATGATCCAGCATCACATGGCACATGTTTTCCTGGACTACTGCATGGAGGCTGAGGACAATGTTCCCCAGATCCTGAAGGAGAGAGTTGCTGCAAGAGGATGGAGACTTTGAAACCCACCGTGTACTTTCCAGAGGGGGTGGAGACCTGTTTGTGCAGCCAATTTAAGAACAGATAAGGTTATGGGGAACTTCTGGCTTTGGTGGTTTCAGCTTATAGCCTGGTGGAGAGCAAGAGATGTGCTAGCTCTTGTGGGAGAGTGGGGCTCTGAGCAGGAGAGCTTCACCGCCCCTGCCCCCCACCACCCCAGGCTGGAAGCCTATAAATAAAAATCTGTTTCTGCCCTGGCTGGTGTAGCTCAGTGGATTGAGCACGGGCCTGCGAACCAGACAAGCACGGTTCGATTCCCAATCAGGCCACATACCCAGGTTGCAGACCGGTTCCCTGCAGGCCAGTTCCCAGCAGGGGACGCACGAAAGGCAACCATACATTGATGTTTCTCTCCCTCGCTCCTTCCCTTCCCCTCTAAAGATAAACAAATAAAATCTTTTTAAAAAATCTGTTTCCCTCAACACTAATTGTTGGGTCATGCACTAAGGTGCCACGTGCATGAACTCTGCTTTGCTTAGTTACATAATGGTTCAGGACTAAGGATATATGTATATGTATATACACATCTTCATATATGTATCTTCATATATATATGTATGCATATGCCCTTTTATTGCCTTCCATCCCAAAAGAAAAGTTAATTTTTAGTTTCACGAGCACTATTCAGGGAAAATTGGGAATCAAGCATCGGGATTTGAGCAAGAGGATTTGAAGCATACAGGCTGTGTGAAGCTTCAGCGGCAGATGCCTACGGATTTCTTATAGAAAGACTATGGCCCTAGCTGATGTAGCTCAGTGGATTGAGTGCTGGCCTGCAAACTAAAGGTTGCTGGTTTGATTCCCAGAGTAGGATACATACATGCCTAGGTTGGAGGCCAGGTGCCCAGTTATGGGGTACGTGAGAGGCAACCACACATCAACGTCTCTTTCTCTCTTTTTCCCCTCTCTAAAAATAAATAAATAAAATCTTAAAAAGAAAGACTGTGATAGGAGATGGTCATGAGATGTAAGTGCACGAATGACAATGATAGGTGGGTGGGGGCTGGAGAAGTTGACTCTGGGTTTGGAATTGGAGAAGCAGCAGGAAAAAGCCATAGGCCTCTGAGTGGGTCTGAAGCGTACGTGGGGGACCAGCCTGAGACTTTCCAGAGGCCTCAGAATTAGAGCAACACAGCATGCTGGGCCGTAGTGTGGAAAGATGGTTGACTTGAAACTTGCAACTACTCTGGAATTGAATATTATTTAGTTTTTATTTTACTTGGACTGAACTTTCTCATATTTCAAGTTTGTTTTGTCTCTGTGACTCTTTTCTGTGTCCTGGGATACACTGGATCAGAAGCCCAGAGAAGGAGGGTCATCCTAGGGGTGTGGTCTAAAGAAGAAAAAAAATGTTTCTTTCCAGATCTCTGATTGGCATTAATCTTCACATGAAGCCTGAGTTTGAGGAGAGACTGAATAGTCTCATCTGAAAACTCTGTCTTCTTCCAGAGCTTCCCCCTCCCTGTCAAACCTCAGTTTGTATTTTTTGGAGGGTCTTTTCTTTTTTCTGTATGATCTTTAGTAATATGCCATTCTCCCAGAGCCATCATTTTATTTGTTTAACTCATTTTGGAATGCTTGCGTCCCCAGCATTGGTAATAGTATAAGAGCATCGGTCCTTCATTGTCCTGAAGGCATGTAAAATTGAGAAGTGGGACTTGGGTGGGTCAAGGGTGTCGTTACCCAAAGGCATGCTTTGTTTTGTTGTATTGGAGAATTTGCATTCTTTTCCACATAGGGAAGAGCTGAGCTGGCTAAAGTACTTTTTAAATTTTTTTAATTGAATTTATTGGGCTGACACTGATTTGTAAAACCACACAAATTCCAAGTCCACAGCTCAATAAAACATTGTCTGCACACTGCATCGTGCGCCCACCACTCCAAGCAAAGCTTTTTCTACCCCCATTTCCCACCCCATTTGCACACCTCCAGTTCCATTAAAGATTTAAATGGTATTTGAATGAAACTGAATCAAGTACTTTGCATTTCTTATCAATTCTTTTCAATGTATTTGTATTCTTTTATTTGTTTTTTATTTTTTAACTTTATTTTTACAGGCATCCTCATTTCCCCCCTTTTGCCCACCACTTCCCTCTGGCCATCACCCAGCCCCCACTTCCCTCTGGCCATCGCCACACTGCTGTCTGTCTCTGAGTTACCCATCTATGTTCTTTAGCTAATTGGCTCAAATGCTTTTAATGAAAAAATATAAGGCAACAAATTTTCTTCCCAAGTTTTATTATTACAAATTGTTTTTATTACAAGTGTTTAACACATCAGAGAATTAGATTTGCTATCTCTCGTGAAACTTGGACAATTAAAAAAATTAAATTAATAAATATGAAAGTAGGTATAGTCTTTTTTCCCCCAGCTATGTCATGCTCTTCCAAGAGACAAAGAGGAGAAAATTCTGTGCCCATATGTAGTACCAACTGAGAAATTTTCACCTGCCATTTCTTCCTATGGGGAATTTCTCTGGGCAGAGCAGACAATCGCACTATTTCACCTTTTTTCTAAAGGCTTCAGAAACATAAATAGATCCATAAATATAGCTCATATAAATATAGGTTTTACCTTTTAAATAATAAAATTCCTAAGTCTGAAATACTGCCTTTTAAAAAAAATACAAAATAAGGCATGTAACTCATTAAAATGGCACCTTACATCCCTAAGTTATCTCAGGTATTTAAATACGTAAATAACTTAAAGCCCTTAGAAAAGCAATTAAGAAGCAAATTGGTATTCAGTCTAAATCTTCCTCCACAATGCAGAAAGGGAAAAGGTGATTCAGATTCAGTTTCTGAACCAAAGTGTTACCTCTGAAACTTCAGGTGAGTGAACTCACTTAAGAACGCTAGTGAGTTTGGTCAGAAATTGGGCTGGGTTTACTCCCCAGAAAGCCTAACTGATTTGGGGAGCTGGGGTCAGAGCAGAAATGCTTAAGCCAGGTGGTGGACGACGGGAATGACACAGGTGCAGCCCACTTTGACCAGCAGCTTCTCCAGCCTGAAGGAGTGGGGGCAGCGCCGAGGGTCCCTGCGCAAGACCAGGATCTCTTGCTGGATGGGGACGGAGTTCAGGTGGTGGTTGGTCTTCCCGTCAGCATCGATACAGTGCAAGTCACGGCACTCTGCCTCCCAGATCACAGGGGGATATCTCTCAGGGTCCTCGTTGCGTCTACAGGGGGAGACAAAGCCAGGAGGGGAGTGAATTCCTGATAAAGCAGGAAGGAAATCAAACAGCAATCACTGAGGGCAGACAAAGTTACAGGGTGACAAATTATAGACATTGCAAATTCTCTGAGGACTGTTAGTCTGAAAAAAAAAGTAGTTTCGGGAAAACTTGGATTTTTAAGCACATGAAATGTTATAGAAAAAAGACAATGATCAGTTTTTCCCAATTTCTCTGAAGAAGGAACAAAATAAGATAGACTGAGGCTGCAGAAGGGACTTAAGTTCAACACAGAGGATCCTTTTCTTAGGGTACATTTGATAGATGGATAAATAAATACCAAGGGAATCATCTAGGAATATGGTAGTTGTTAATGTGAGCTAATGAAGTCTGTCTTTGAAACATGGAATGTGTCGAAATTTTATCTGACAACACATTCCCAGAAAAGAGCCCAGAGCTGATATGTACAGCTGGAAACAAAAGCTTAGGCCCCTTAATAACCCTCTCTTCCTTCTCTCCTCCAGCTGAGTTTGCGATTTGCTTTGAGTTTGGATTTAACTCTTCTTAGTAATGGGAAGAGGAGAAGAAACAACAGTCAAGCGAATATGTAGGTGCCACATAACTGAGGCTTATTTGCATAAAATCATGTTGTCGAAATACACTTATTATTGAATTCCTTATGGGGTCTAAGTACTAGATTTATTAAGGACACAGAAAATATCGGTCTGCTGGGAATCAAAACTAACTGAAAAAGGGGTAGGGATACCCACCGTGATAGTTCTACCTCCACTGGGATTCAAGCAACAGGCTTGGGTAGCATAAATATAAGAATGCTGATCACCATTAATCTGAGTGGGTTTTTGGTGTCAGTGACAATGAGATCTCACAGGATAGGTATTGGGGGTGGGGATGTCCTGTGCTCTATCACATAAGTTCATAGAATGAAAGTTTGAGAATCATTGTTTTGCACAATGGCCTTTCCAGGTTTGACTGGTAATTCTGAGTGAGTAAAATTTTCCTCAAGGTGATTTAACTGGCAGTCTGATGCATACAAGATAGAAGAATAGACAGATTTTATCTGGGGATTTTACGTACCGGAGACTCCAAGGTGAGGTGGATCGGTTGTAATAATCTAAGGGCCTTCTGGAATTCATATGCTGGTTAACGATGTTGAGGTTGACCCTCACACTCTGAGGGAAGCTCTTGTCCTCGGTGCTTGGGCACACTGGATTTCGTGGCATTGCTATGCCTGCCTTTAGTATAGCCACCAGAGTCAGCAGCTGCAGCAGTGACTGGAACTGAATGGGAAAGGAGAGAGGTAGGAGATTGGATTAGCATGTGGTATTTGTCAGCAAATTGTGATAATGATTGCATTGCTAATCACAGAGAACATACTACGTTCTAGGACACCTTATGCTAAATTTTCAAGTCAATAAAAACCTGGTTAGGTGACCAAAATAACGTTAAGACCATGGAGTTTTACCAGTCTCGAACATTCATCTTTTGATTTAGGAAAGGCACCTTACTCATTGGCTGGCAGTAATTTTAATAAAAATGACAAGTTATCATCCTGTCAGTACGTGCATCACTGCCAGGTCACTGGGATAATATTGATCTTGACTTTCTAGGAGGAAATGTCTTCCTGCACCATTGTTCTCTACCTTGGCAACCTGTGAAACCCTACGTGAAAGCAAATGTGCGCTTAAGAAAGGGCCATAGAGAATCCAAGTGGTAGCAGTATTTATGCTAGAAATGTTGTTGGTACCACTGGCAAATATTTCAACCCCAAACTGGATCCCCCTTATGTTTTCTAGGTATATTTTATAGTTTTCTTAATTTACATACACTGATTCTATAATTAAACTACATTTCAAAAATTATAAAATATAAAAACCTTTTATTCTAAGTCATAGTTATACTGCATCTGGATGAGAATAAATGGGTTTGGCATACCAAGACTATGGTATAATAATAGGATAATAGAAAGAAAAGCCATCGCCACAATTTATTAAATCCTCAAGGACCATGACCCATCTTATTATGAATTAAAGAAAAATGCTGTGGGAGAATTATATTAAATCACTTGTACTCAGAAAAGTGGATTTTCAGCAAACATTCTTTCTTAGTGCACAGCCTTATGTGATTCTTTTGTGTGGTTTAGCTGCAGTATAAGCTCTCTTTCCGTTTTAATCTCATCTCTCAAACTGATGTGTATCAGTTCTTGAAAATGCTATACAATAAATATCTACCAAAGCTTTCATTTCATATTCTACATGATCAGAATTCTTAGATCTCCATAGTCAGAATCCAGAATTTCATGCCCACAGTCCAGAAGTATAATCTGGCCCAAATCAACAAGAGCAACACACATGATAGTACAGGACTCACCATGGAGGGAGTTCTCTCAGGAGCCATTGCAGTTTCTCTAGATTCACTGGAGATGGATGAGCTTGTGTCGGCTGTGAGATGGACAAAGGGTTATGCTATCTTCACTCTTTTTATAGGCCTTTGCACCTTCTGTGGTCACTTACGTTGGCGTATCAGAGTAGGTTTAGGGGTGACACCATTTTGGTTAAAAGTTCCATCCCTAAATGAGGTCAGAGAAAAACCTCCCCTTCACAGCGAGTAATGCCTGCTTGATTTTATGGAGGAAACTGGGAAGGACAGAAATTTATGTTTCTGAAGACTCTTTCCTCTCTTCATTCTTCAAAGATTACTTGCCGGAAGTTGAGCAAAGATGTTCTACTTATAAGCTGGTATCATTTATTTATGGTCATGCATGAAGCTGCCATAAGAACTCTGCTTTATTTTAATGGCTCATGGGATAATAAAAGTTTGACATAACATTTAAGCCACGCGCCTTGATTTTCCATTTAATAACTCCTCTCTTCATCATATTCCCTAACCAGATATTGTGGAGGTCATTACAGAAACTACTCAAAATCTCACCATATCAACAAACAAAAAGAATAAATAATTTCAGGATGAAAGGACATATTATTTTATTGAATTGACACTTGCTTTGTTGAATGTTTGTTCTGCTAAGGAATAATAACTGGGTTAAAGAGACATGGGATTTACTGTTAAAGGTATGTCTAATGAAGAAACTTGCTAACTCATGTGATTCTTCAGGAGGAATGAGATGCAGTTGGTGGGAGGAGATGTAGAGTGACAAGGAGTTGGAAATGTAGGTAGAGACTGGAGAACAGTGGTGGAAGTAGAGGAAGAGAGAGCAATGAAGAGTAGAGAATGATAAGCACAAGAAGGGGAGGAGGAACAAGGGAGGATGAGAAGGAAAGAGAGGAGAATATGGTTTCTCCTTCCTTTTCTGTTCGCTCTCTGAGATAAACTTTGATTTCAGGTCCTTGAGAAAAGCTTCTTCTCAGAAACAATGAAGAGCAGCACAAGGATGATAGAGATGAGCACTGAGTGGATACAAATGTGGTTGGCTACGTGACACCCTCTCTCTCCCTTTTCACCCTGACTTCAGGTCTTCTTAGCTGGTATATCTATATTACTCAGGAGGCTGGTATCTCGCATAACTCAGGCAGACTCACGAGCAGTTATAACTCAACAATTGAAGTGTATAAGAAGTTTGCTGACTCTTGGGCTTGTTTGTCCTGAGAGGTATTATTTCTTGCCCTGATCTATCTGTATCTCAGAGAACTGACCCTTCAAGTTGATTTCTCAGACTCCCTGGTCAGCAGGCTTTTAGCTGTGTTTAGCCAGAGGGATATTTAGCCACAGGGCAGGGGAGTGAGAGCGGAGAGAAGGAAGGGGAGGGGGAGAACAGGGTCTCCTCACTGTTTTTTTGTGCACTGTTTGCTCCTTTTGTGTTTATACCCTTGGGATGGTAGTAGCCTCTTGCTGATGCCAATCTCAATCACCATGGTAACAGGTTCCTTGCAAGAAATTTACTGTGTAGCAAATGTCTGAAGTGACTTCTGTTTTACTGGCTAGATAGATCCTGATGGATCAGTGAGGAAGGCCATGAGCAACCTAATCTCAGGGGGGATGGTGGGTGATCTTGATGGCAAAACAGATTCAGATAGAAGAGAAAGTAAAATGCAGCCCCTCATGATTTCCCTAGATCTTGTGTTGACATCACCATCTACCCTTTAAGAGATAAGAGTCACCATAAGCTCTCATTGCTTTTTCTACATATGACCAAGCAACTGTCTAAGAAGTTGCTGTGTCTCTTACATCTGTTACCTAATCCTAGACCTACTGCCACTCCTCCAGCTTATACTCTCATCCACTTGCACTGTTTTAATAGCCACTTATGCTTTTCTCATCTGCTGCCTTCTACCCACCTTCAATATTCCTGCAACAATAATTCTCAAAGCGTGACTTTGACTGTGCCCTTTCTTGTCCCATTAGTTTGTGTAAAGAACAAAATGCAAACCCGTTACCATTAGAATTGGTATCTGTGGCACTTTTTGAGATCTGCTACCTTTCTAGCTTCACCTCTTAGGATGATTCATACTGGATTTGTGGGTCCTGATTGTCCTCCTTCTAATTTCCATACAATTTTTGTTAAGGTGCTATCTCTAAAATGCTCTTCCCCATCCTCAGTTTATCAAAATTCTACTCATTCTTCCAGATCCTATTTAAATGTGTTTTTCTGTCTGTAAGTCTCTCCTGGTTATTTTAGTTTAAATGAATGGTTCCCATAACATGTAGCTTATCCCTACCACCCTAGTAAATTTTGCTTCATTTTGTATTGCATTTTACTTGGCTGGACAAAGTGTGTTTAAGATATATATCTATTTCCACTTTCTAGATTTTACTGTAATCCTTCAGAACCAGTGTGTTACTCATCTTTGTAACTCCCATGGTGCCTAATGTCAGGCTTTATACAACAAGGGTTTTTACAGATTGCTTTTGTGTTGCTGATTTCTCTCTGTTATACAAATGTTCCTGCATATTTCTAGTGTATCGCATGTCATTTGTTTATCTATCTTTTGCTAGCCTGTGAGCTACCTGGAGACAGGTAGCCATCTTATTAGTCTTTGTGTCACTTAACATAGTGTGTAATAAATAGTACATGCTCAATATTTTGACTGATTGACAGTATGAGTAAAGTTATTTGAGTAGTTCAGAGTCTTAAATATTGTTTTTGGGACCCAATTGCATTCTGATGACTATATTGAGTTGTGTAATGTCTTGACTCTCCATCCTGATACTTTTGAAAATACTGTGACAAGGTTCTGGCCCATTTTGGACCACCTGTAGTGGAGAAAAGGGTTCCTTACTTGCTCTTTCTGGCAAGGATGAGGTAGAGGAGAAAGTGCTGCCAGTTCTTTTGGTTGATGGTCAAGGAGGAAAAGCTGACTCTAGCTGATCTGCCTATGCTTTCCTCCTGTGTCAGTGAAATCCAGCCTATGTGCTAGTCTTTGAAATATAAACTCTTGCTTTAAAATAAGAAAGGGGAAACAAGGTGGGTTTTCGTAAAATTATAAAAATGGTAAGATTGAAGTGATGGTTGAAGTTGGCTGTGATCAGCCTTGAGTAGGACTAGATTCCCAGATGCACACTTGAGCCGGAAACCTGTGCCTCTTGGAAGAACAGTCAGAAGCACAAAGAGGGTGCGGAGAGTGGGATGGGGCTTTCCTCTGAATCTGTCTACAGAGGCAGCTGGCTCAGGTTAGGATCCCAGTCTGTTGAGAAAGAAGGAATGTTGGACTGAGAATTAGCATGTCTAGAACACTGGATAAGAGGGCATTTTTGTTTTCATTGTAGACCTGCCATTAACTACTTATGACCTTGGGTGCTTCATGTCTTTGAGGCTCAGTTTCTCTTTTTATAAAATGAGTTTTTGAATTTTGATACTTCCAGTCAAGATAGTTAAGTAGGTGGAAACTGCACTTAACCTTCTCCCATGATCATTTCAAAATTACAGTTAAATTCTAGAACAATCAACTTGGAGAACCGTATGAACACTAGATGAACAGAAGTTCTATCACTAAGGATATAAGAAGAAGCCACATGGAGACTGGTAGGAGGTGTAGAGATGCTAATTGTGCTAGCTCTGTATCCACATATGGCTCTTGAGAATTGGGAAGGATATTTCAGATGCTGAGAACCCACCTGAGGAGTGAGGGGATGCAGTATACATCAGGATCCACACAGTGGAGCACTAGTACTGGGAAATGGTGTCCTCAAAACATCTGGCTATAAACATCAGGGATTTCATTGGTCTGGATGAGATGAAAGGCTGCTGGAAACCAAAAGACCCACTTAAAGGACCTGTGCACATACTCACTGGCTCACAGGCACGTACCCTGAGCTCCAGTGAAGGGACATCAGCTGAGGGAGGAGGGTTGCCAGAGTCATGCAGGGAGAAAACGAGTTGTGTAGCTTCAGGGCAAGGGCTGAAGAGACAGCTGCTATTGTCTCTATGTTAAACCTTTCTCCAACATAGCAGGCTCACAATGTAACAAATAAAGAGTTCAAAACACTGGTTATAAGGATGCTCAAGGAACTTAGAAAAAATAGATGAATTCAGTGAGAACTTCGACGAAGAGATAGTAAGCATTAAAAGGGACAAAGAAATCATCAAAAAGTGCCAGTCAGAAATAAAATATACAATAACTGAAATGGAGAATACACTAGAAGGCATCAGTGACAGATCAGATGAAACAGAGATTAAACCAGTGGTTTGGAAAGAAAGGTAGCAGGAAACATTCAATCAGAACAGCATAAAGAAAAGAGAATTTTTAAAAATGAGAATAGTTTAAGGGACCTCTGAGATAACATCAAGCATAACAACATTTGTATCATAATGTACCAGAAGGAGAATAGAAAGTAGAGAGCAAGGGACTGAGAAACTATTTGCAGAAATAATGACTGAAAACTTCTTTAACCTGGTGAAGGAAAAGGATATACAAGTCCAAAATGTGTGGAGAGTCCCAAAGAAGTTGAACCCCAAAGAGGCCCACACCAAGACACATCATAATTTATATGGCAAACATTAAAAAGAAAGAAAGAATATAAAAGCAGCAAGAGAAAGGTTGTTATTTACCTACAAGGGAGCTCTCACAAGATTGTCAGCTGAATTTTCAACAGAAAAATTTCAGGTGAGAAGTGATTAACACAAAATACTCAAAGTAATGCAAAGCAAGGACCTACAACCAAGACTACTCTATCTAGCAAAGCTATCATTTAAAACTGAAGAGCTTCCCGGACAAGAAAGTACTGAAGAAGTTCATCAACATTTAACCAGTATTATGGAAATGTCAAAGGACTTTTTAAAGAAGAACAAAAGGATCATAAATGTGTATAATAAATGGCAATAACTATGTGCCTATCTTCAATCAGTTTAAATATAAATGGATTAAATGTTCCAATGAAAAGAAATAGGATAGCTGAATGGTTAAGAAAACATGATCCACATATATACTGTATGCATAATCCTAAAACTTATATGAAACCACAAAGCACTCTG